GGGCGAGTGGGTGGCAGCAGCGGTGATTGGGGTGCTGGGGCAGGTGAGCGAGGTGCCTGGCGCCCGGCACAGCCACGGGCTGGGCGGGCCACTGCCTTGGCGGCACTTCTTGGCCTGGCTGGAGTGTGCCTGCACTGTCACCCTTGAGCTGGGCCAGGTCCTGGAGGTCATTCCTGCCATTGGGGGGTGGGTTATGGCCCAGGGCAGGGGAGGTCCTCCAGGCAGCCCCCCGGCTGCGCAGCCCCTTTTTGAGTCTCTGTGTTCAGCGGGCGCAGCTGCTAAACCCCCCGGACTACTCCCTGCCTGCCTTCCATGTCCTGGGCACACACGTGTGTGTCTGCGGTGCAGCCATGGTCGGCCTTGGCCTCCTCACTCACCGGAGCATCCGGCCCGTCCCTTGGCTCCCAGCACACTGAGCCCGAGACGGTGGCTGCGGGTTTTCTGGGCGGGACTCTGGCCATGTAGCCAGTGGATACAGAGCCCCTGTGAGTGACACATCAGGGCGCCAACTGATTTTGGCGCACATCAAATCTTGCCAGAGGAAGGCGGAGCCGTGCGCCCAAAGGAAGAACTGCCGCCGAAATGGAGCCCGCCAGGGACGAGCGAAGTACCAAGCCGAGAAACAAGCATGCCATTCCACCACCAGAGGGGTGCCGGTAGGAAACCCCACCTCTACAAATTCTGTGGCCCTAGCTAGGATGAAACTGTGTGATTAGCACCACATGTAAGCCACTCAGACACCCCCTGAGAAGGGGGTTCGAGCGGGATATAAAGCCTAAAGTTAAATAAATAAATAAATAAATAAGGACAGGATTGCCCCAGTACACCTGGCATACCAGTTGGAAACGACGCCTTTAAATTGTTACTTCTCAAAAATCCTTTGTTTTTTTTCTAATTATTGTTTTAAATATTGGAATGTTTATATGCAGAACATTTTGGGGTTATTTTGTTTATGTTTCAGTTATGTGGGATTTGAGCGTGTTAAAGTACAGTTTCCATCATATGCAGATAGTTTTCCTCTTGAGTATTCTTAAGAGACCCACAGGTATTGTTCAGTTGTCTCCAGGAAATTGTCAGAGACTATACACTTCTTACTGGCATGGGATATCCAGAGAGAATATCTTCTCTGGGAAGCAAATACAATATGGGAATGATGATGCTGTAGGCAGGATAAGTGTCTGTCAGTCTAACGCATGGAGCAAAAATTATGTCATGCATAGAAAAATCTAAAGTACTGATAAATTTAAAATCTTCTGAATGACTTTAATTAATGAGGTAAAATTAGGTCCAGCCAAGTGCTTTTTTTAAACAACAGTGTTTAAAAATTGAATTAGCTCTTGCCTTTGCTGGAACTGTCAGCTGTCGAAAAAAATCAGTGTCACAAATGAAAAACAACGTAATGAGGAAGATTTCATTCCTATGTTTTATAACAACTTTTCCATACATACAAGCCAAAAAGCTATTAATAGCCTTTTTTAAAAAAATTAAGCAGTATAACAGCACTTGCAAATTTGTGGTACAGCTTGGGGAGGGCATCATGTAAGGTTTTTGTGCTTTTTACGTCTGGTGAAGTCAATGGCCATTGTGGGTTGCTTGGCCCCTCTACAGCTTATTTTGTTCACCTCTTGGGAAGGTGCATGCCAGTGTTTCTGTTTTCTAGGCAGAGTTCCCCACTTTATCTCCTAACAGAAGTGTGGTCAGTTTAGTTGTGAAAAGTGCAAATGGCCTCCACAGTGTGTCAAGGAACCCAGGAATCCAAAGTGCTTTGGGTCAAGCGAAAAAAGAAAGCCCAAACCCTCAAAAGCCCTCAGTGTATTAGCACTGTAATTACCTCCCTGAAACAAGAGAAAGATATGCCATAATTAAGATATAATGTATGCCATTATCATGTATTAGGTAAGACTATGTGCCCTTACTACACTTACAGACATTTAGTAGTTAGTGAAGTCTGTAGGAAACAATGACACTTCTAATTTCCAATTATATCATTATCAGTTTTGAATTCTCTGAGAGCATAAGCTAGGAGCTGTATGATTTGGTCAACTATTCCCTGTCAGTATCATACATTTTTGAAGGTGCATTTGTACCCACGGTGACAGGGAAACTGAGGCCTAGTTCTCGCTAAGTTGGTAAGTCTGTTAAAACCAAAAATACTTGTACAAAGGCTTATATTATTCTCCTTGTTGTTAAAACAATGCTAATGGATGAAGCTGTCATTAGTATGACTTATCGCTATAAGACAGCTTCATGCGTTCAGTACCATTGTTTTAATAGCCAGACCACTGATCTCTCAAGAAATCACTATCACCATTAGGGTTGCCGGGGGGGGGGGGCTGGCCACCAGCAGGGGATGTGGGGGTAGCACTGCCAGATCCAGGTTGGGAAACTCCTGGAGATTTGAGGAAGGAGCCTGGGGAGGACAGAGACCTCATTGGGGTACGATGCCATAGAGTCCACTCTTCAAAGCATCCATTTTCTCCAGGGAAGATGATCTCTGTAGTCTGGAGATGAGCTGTAATTCCAGGGGCTCCCCAGATCCCACCTGGAGGCTGGCATCCCTAATCACCATCCATAAGTGAATGGTTTAAAACAATTGGAAGCATTGCTTTATTGATGAAACTGACATATTACCAGAGAACTTAAAGGAGTCATTTCAAGAATACTGATACTGATTTAGGCCTAGTTTATTTTATTTATCTTAAATATTTTCATGCTGCCTTTTCACCCAAATAGGGTCCCCAGGGCAGCAAACATGAAAATATTTGAACATTACATTCAGTCAAAACATATGAACACTGAAGTTATCACTGAAGTGCTGTACCTAGCCTTTAACTCTTTGGCTTACAGGTGAGAACTTGCTTGTTTGAATGTTCCTCAAAGCAAAATAATGCCCTGCATAAAGAAAATTAGATATTCCCAGCTAGAGTCTCAAGGGCTTTATCTCAGACAGGTTTACAGCTTCAGGCCACAGTTAAGCAAGATGTGGATATTACAATAGCTTGTGTTTTATTTTCTTTTAGGTCAAATACATCATTTGGTGGGTAGGACAGACAGTGAAGATAACTTCAGTAGTTGTCTTAATCCTATCCCTTGCACTGTTTTCCCAATTCAAGCCATCTTCCAAAGCTTCAATTTGTCTTGTGTAGGAGAGCCTACCCATCTGTATATTTCTCTCATTAGGATAAGTAGCATCTGAGAAGGATAATAGAAGCAGTTTAAATTAAGCAAATGGCACTGGGGAAAGGAGCAATCGCAAGGAAGATCAGAACTGTTTGACAGTAATGGGACTTCAAATTTGAGTTGCACGATGTTCTATTAACTGAGCTGGAGAACAGAAATGAAGAAGGCCAGGATTTTTAATTGAGCTGCCAGACAAAGGAACTTGAGCTGCTGTTTCAAGAGTGATGATTTTCCATTGGTATCTGTTGACAATCTTTTATATCATGTTCCCCCAAGAGCGCATGTTCCCCCAAGAGCGCTGAGATCTGGGAGTCTGGACCTCCTCGAGGTCCCAGGCCCCCGGGACATCAAGTTTGCCCTAACCAAGGCCAGGGCTTTCTCGGTGGCGGCTCCTACCTGATGGAACGAGCTTCCAGTGGAGATCAGGGCCCTGCGGGACCTAGTGCAGTTCCGCAGGGCCTGCAAGACGGAGCTCTTCCGCCAGGCTTTCGAATAGGAGCCACCGCCGCCGCCACTATACCACCCTGTGGCGGACCTACCACCTGCCTGGCCTGGTTGGGGGTAAAATGTTGCCTGAGGAGGAACATCATCCTGGCGCTCCGGCGTTTATTCCATCGGCCGCCAATGAGAGTCATCGACCATCTTGGATTTTAAAATGAACTTTAAAAATAAATCTCATCATGTACTGTAGAGCACCATTTTAGCTTGTATTTATTGAAATTTTAATGTATTTTATGCTTTGTCTTCGGCTTGGCTGCTGTTAGCCGCCCTGGGCCGTATGGGTAGGGCGGGATATAAATCCCAAGAATAAATAAATAAATAAATAGTCTACTGGGGTATTCCTGGGAATCATCATCCAGAATTTCACTATTTGAATGTGTAGAAAGAGCCTTTGTTCTGAAGGAGAAAGTAGAAATGTACGAGCAGAAAAACTGTAAAAGACCTTAAGAGCATTTCTATCTAACAAAATTTAGAAAAGTAAGAGGAAGAAAAAAGGGGGGGTATCATACAATACGGAAGATTGGGGAGTTATGAATGAAGAAAGAATAACTGACAGTGTCAGAGGAGGTAAAAATACCATTCATGGGAAATGACAGGAAAGGGCTATTAACTTGACTGCCAGAAAGCTTCAACTGGGGAGAGCAGTTTCAATGTAATGAGAATATAGTCTAGGTTGCAAGGGTCAAAGCAAGAATTTTGGAATTCAGAACAAGAGGAAACTCCTTGTCTGAAAGAGAGTGATGGATGATAAAGCAACTGAAGAGGCTGAGAGAAGGACACTAATTTTTTTTTTAAGGCTACTGAGCAGATTCCCTTTTCTTTCAGAGGCATAGTGACATCTTTATACTGGAATGAAAAGCAGCTCTCTAAGATTAATCACACTGCCGATGAAAAAGAGAGGATTGTGGTTGCAACCTACCCATGCTTAATATGTTAATATTGGAAACGCACATCTTTACACATGTGATCACACAGGATTTTAATAGTCACATACTCACATTGACCTTAATAGCATTGATGCACACTTCATTTACCTTGGTAACAAGCAAGAGGTGACGGGAGAGATGGAATCATAGTGCCTATTGTAACTACAGTTCACACATTTTTGCACTGTAAATTGGATCTGGAAAAATTCCACAATCTAAATCAGTGGGAAAGGTTTTAAACTCTGAATTGGCAAGCCAAGCGGGTATGCTTCTTTGATTATCTTGTGCATGCGTCTTTATAAGAATCTTTGACATTGATGTAATACCATCATATTGTTTGTGCCTTATTTGTGGCATCCCTTGTATAACGCAGGATAATTTTATATTTTGCAGAACACACAGAGACGTGAGAACAGACCTCTTTCAGGACTAGAGAATCAGCAAGATGATACTAGCTGTGCGATATGGCTTTCTGATGACACTGCAACCTGTACTGGTGTCAAAATATTACTGTCACACTGTGGAAATAATGAGAGAAGAAAATAGTTGAGAGAGCAGTTTTATCAGAAGGGCTTCTGTTGCTCAGAATGGATTGAAATTTTTCTTTCCCATTGCCAGGTAATCCGTTCAAATGTGCTCAGCCACTGGCTAGTAGGTGTTCTGCAAACCTCAGATATTCTGATGAACTCTTGTTGAGCCTGGTAATGAGAGTGGGGCCCAAGTGTATTTCCATCAGAAGCTGCGGCATAAAATTTTCTGAACACTTTCCCCTCCCAGAACCATTTTAAACCTGTAATTTTATACATTAGCATAGCATTCCATGATCCCTTTTTCCGTTCAGATACTGATGGGATTTGTACCTGCTTCTAAAGTCTAACTAGGGTTATCCTTGCTGAAGTAAGGATATTGCGTGTGTGCATCAAGTGCCATTGGTCGCTTCCCACTTATGGCAACCCTATGAATCAATGTCCTCCAAAACATCCTATCGTAGGGTTATCCTAAGGATTATTCTAACAATTGGGTTTAGAAATTTTAATTAAATTATTATGTACAATCAAACATTATATGCATAGGCTTAGGAATTACCATGATGAACACAATATAATACAAAATACAAAAAAGTTAATATTAATTTCATTATTCACAAGTTTGTACCTATAACATGTATAAAATTCACTGTGTTTGAAAATATTTTGTAAGTTACTTCATTTTCCTAATCAACCCCCATATGGCAGTGTGAAAATAATCATTATTTTAATTTACTTCAGCTTCTAACACTAATAATACTTCTATATATTTAAATCTTTAGAGTCCCTAAAAGAACTGCTTATGGAGCCACAGAAATTCTTCCCCCTTTAATTAACTGAATGATAGAGACGACTCTCCTTATATAACTTTTAAAAACTGTTGTCTATTTATAACCCATCTTGCTGAAGGTGGATCACATGATACAGAGGTGTAATCGCACACACAAGATATCCAATAAACAGTGCAATAGGACTAGGATTACAAAATTAGAAAACAATGGATAAAGAAAAAAGTATCAGATATGATATATCATTAACAATGCAGAAAATGGAATTACTAAAACAGCAGAATGCAGTAAGATCAGGAGGATAAAACATACAACAAAACCGGAAGACTAAAGTCCTTCTATAAAAGAAATACTCCTTTTTTAAAAAGGATCCTTCTGAACCATTCCATTTATACTACAACCCCTATCCCATTTATAAAAATGGTCTCTGTTTTGCATGATCTGCACAATGACAGGTGTGGGAGCCTTCTTGACCTCCTTTCCACAAGGAGGGAGCTACAACAGAGAATTCACTTGTACATGTCGCTATTGATCTTACCCATTTGTAGGGTGGCGTTTTCAGAAGGCTCTCCTCAGATAACCAAAGGGTTTTGTATGTGATAACCAGTACCTTGAACTGAACTCAGTAACTGACAGATTAAAAGTCAACTAAACAGGCAAGAAAGAAATCTAGCATTCTCTTAGGTCTCCATCAGACACAAGTAACGTGTTTATACCTTTCTGCATTCTATTTGACATACAACACAGTCTATAAATAATTTCCAAAGAATGTTCTTTTAGCCTGATTTCCAGCAAATATTGGTTTGGTTCTATATATAATCCATTGCTTTCCGGGATATCCACCACAGCGCAAAGATCTTCACTGTGTGACTGAAGTTAAGCTGCAGCAATCGTTTTGTGGCTGGCTCTGCCTCCTCTGGCAGCTATTATGTGCCCGCTCCCACCACACTGTGTCAGGATTCCAAAGGTGCCCATAAGCTCAAAAAGGTAATCAAAACACCTGTGAGCTTTCTAAGAGTGGTACATTCTTGTAACACCCATCTCCTCCATCAAAAGTAGTGAGAAATGGGAGACTTCTTCCCTTGAACTCTGTTATTTATATACTGCCCTCCCCAAATGGGCTCAGGGCGGTGCACAATGATTAAAATAATACAATTAAAATAATGTTTAAATAGCAATTTGCACATAATAATATCATATCATAAAATACCATGTAAACAGAGAGATCTGATGTCAAGCAGTCCGATATCTAATCAGATGTCCAGTCAGGACCAGGCCACTGATGGATGATTGGCCAAAAAAGCTGGGGGGGGGACACATCCGCTGCCTCAACCGAATGCCCAGTGGACGAGCTCCATCTTGCAGGCCCTGCAGAACTGCAATAAGTCCCACAGGGCCCTGATCTCATAGGGGAGCTCATTCCTCCAGGTGGGGGCCAGGGCAAAAAAGGCCCTGCCCCTGGTCAAGGCCAGTCAGACATCCCTGGGGCTGGGGAACACCAAAAGATGTTGGTTTGTGGATCTCAGTGCCCTCCAGGGCTCATATGGCTTTGACTCATGAAAGCTTAAATCACTTAGCATTTGAAGAGCCTTGGTAATCACTTAGCATTTGAAGAGCCATCTGTAGTCCACACCTGCCGGAAGGAAGTCCACTCTTCAGAAATGTATAAAGTGCTACTGGACTCAAATTTTGTTTTGTTGCTACAGACTAACGTGGCTACCCACCTGAAACTTTCTCACTGTAAAGACCTGAGATCATCACTGAAATGTCTGAAGCTATTTTCTCTCTACCCATACTTTCCCTCTACCATACCATAAGTATTAGTTACCATCAGATAGTGAAGAACCTACTTCTGGACCAGCAAATTCTCTTCTAGAGGAACATTATTATCATCTACCTGAGCCTTTGCAGAGAATAGCCCCAACATGACTCCCTAGGAGACTTCTAGAGGATGAACATTACCATCAAGATGATTTTGCATTCTGATGTTCACCTGCTGAAACTGTTGACCTGTTAAATGATACTTTTCAAATGGATACCCAAAGAAGGTTAAAAGAAGGAGCTAATTTTTAGAATAGCATTTTAATTTTTTGTTTGTTTCCTGAAGTGCTGGGGCATTGTCTTCAGCTTGAAAAAAGTGCTCAGTAGACAAGTTAGCTGACAAACTATGTCAAAGTACATCTAAAACATACAAATGGAATGTGACAGATACATTTGAAAACATGTACATTACTGATCTGTAGCCACAATTGACTACAAATCCATGTGGAGAACACACTCAGTGACAAAGGCAGGTTTGTCATCACGCACAAGCTCTGAAATGGCCCTAAGAAAGATCTCAAATGTGATTCTTTCTTTTTTTGTATTTTATGAGTATTTTGTTTGTGTGCGTGTGTGTGTGTGTGTGTGTGCTTTTGAGCCTGAAAGTCATGGTGACTTCTGGCGACCCATAGTGGGGCTAGGATGTTTCAGAGAGGTGACCTGATATTGCCCTGCCTCTGTGTCCTGGCCCTAGTATTCCTTGGAGGTCGCCCTTCCAAATACTGTCTTAGCTTCCGAGATCTGACAAGATTGTGCTTGCCTGGGCTATCCAGGTGAGGGCTCAAATGTGATTCTTGAAAGATTTTAATTTTACTTCTGCTGTATGAATGCTGCTCTAACAAGAGGACCTGATGTTTGGAAATGCCCAGAGATTAGGTTAGTGATGGCACACTACTGAATCATGTTAAAATATCTGAAGTGTTAACAACAGGTGTGAAAAGGGTGGATTCGGTTACTATGCATTGTTAATATAGAAAAAATCATTGCTTGCAGTGAGATGCAATAGTGGTCTGATGCTGCCACCTTGTGTTGAAGGCTGGGTCAGTGTTCCATGCTAACCTGTCAAGTTCTTTAACAATCTCTCTGGCTACATGATAGGGACTGTTCTACTCCACAAAATGCAGCAGAATTCTGGCATCCTGAGATCAGATTAAGTTCAGACAGATTAGGGAAGAAGCCTAAACAGGCCTACTCAGAAGTAAATCCCATTTTATTCAATGAGTCTTTCTCCCAAGGAAGTTTTTTTAGGATTAAAGCTTCAGAATCAAGTAACTCCAATATTCATGAATTTCAGATCTGTTGTTTCAATGCATTGCCCAGTTTAAGGATTCAAAATCATTGCAGATTAAATCAATATTTCACTGCTGCTATTTATTACACATTGTGAGCCAGTTTGGTGCAGTGGTTAAGTGCGTGGACTCTAATCTGGGAGAACCGGGTTTGATTCCCCACTCCTCCACTTGCAGCTGATGGATGACCTTGGGCAAGCCATAGTTCTGACAAGAGCTATCCTTGAAAGGGCAGTTCTTGAAAGAGCTCTCTCAGCCCCTCCTTCCTCACAGGGTGTCTGTTGTGGGGAAGGGAAAGGAGTTTGTAAGCCGCTCTGAGACTCCTTTGGGTAGTGAAGGGCGGGGTATAAATCCAATCTCTTCTTCTTCTTCTTCTTCTTCTTACCCAAACTGGACCGAGGGGGGGGGATTAGCTTTTAAAGGGTTCTCAGATGGAGAAACAAGGGATCTTTTATCTGTGTATATGGTGTTTTTATGCCAGATAGATATTCCAAGGGTGTAAGTAACGGAGATCTGGTTCAAACAAAATGAAGTCTTTATTCACTAGCAATCAGTCATACAGCTATGAGTAAACCAAACTACAAACTCTAGAGCCACTGATAAACTACAAAAGAACCACAAGATACCATTAAAACTGAAATAAGCCATTATCTCCCTCCCAAATACACACGCATGCATGCACGCACTCTCACACACACTATGCGTATGGGATAAGGATGAAACAAGGCGAGGGAAGGAAAGATGTTCAGGTGTGCGATACTACCTGATCCAATGTGTGAGAGAGACTGAGAATTGCGAGGAGTCCATGCAGCTGAAGTCCAAGATGGTGAGGAGAGAGAGGGAGCTGTGAAGCAGTTGCAGACAATGCTCCCTCTAAGCTGTGGAATCTTGTGAGCAAAAGTTCTATTTTGTAAGCTACTGGCTCACAAAGTGATTTGGCTATTGCATAAATTAGTTTGCTCTGAAGCCATCCTTCCTGAGCTAAGAGAGCCAGTTTGGTGTAGTGGTTAAGTGTGCGGACTCTAATCTGGGAGAACCGGGTTTGATTCCCCACTCCTCCACTTGCACCTGCTGATGTGACCTTGGGTCAGTCACAAGCTCTGGCACAGCAGTCCTTGAAAAAGAGCCGTTTGTGTCAGAGTTCTCTCAGCCCCACCCACCTCACAGGGTGTCTGTTGTGGGGAGGGGAAGGGAAAGGAGTTTGTAAGCCGCTCTGAGACTCCAAGTGAAGGGCGGGGTATAAATCCAATCTCTTCTATTCTTCTTCTTCTAAGACAAAAATGTGTGAGCCAGAGGCTAAAAAACTGAGCTAGCTCACACTAACTCATCTTAGAGGGAACACTCTTTGCAGGGGTTCATTTTTTATAATGTCTGGAGCCTATGGTGATCTGTTGGATTAATCAGACAATCTTTTGGATGAGAATATTTCAAGTTCCCACCAATAACCTGCTTATGCTATGAATCTTAAATGAACATGCAGCTACAGTGCATGGTGGACTGCACCAGTCTAAGGCTGTAATCTTTATGAACACTTATCTGTAAGTGAAGTAAGACCATCTGAGTACAGTGGAACTAGCATCTGAGGAATGCACATAAGATAGGGCAATGCATCTGGCAGTTCCAGGAAGAGAGTATGTGGATAGTGTTGAGTAACCGAGAGATATTTCTCATTAAGGGTCAAGGTAAGAATCAGCTGGGCATCATACTTTTGATCTGATCAGATACTAAGGTATTGTTTAATAATACAATCCCATGTTAATCACCTACTGAAATGTTAAGCAATGTTGGCCTTTATAAACTATATAAACTGGGCTTTATTTTTCTCTTTTTCTTCATAGAAGGAGCAGCAGTTTTCACTGCAGATGCCAGAGTCCTGAGAGAGCAAATTGCTTCACCCTTTACCAGCACTGTCATCTTTTTCTGCCATGGGACCGGACAGTGGTTTCTTGAGCACCGGGCTGTTTCATGCCATCCTATGGGGGAGCTTGGCAGCCCTAACCATGCTCCTGATTTTCAGTTTTCTCTTCTTTTTATGTTCTAGTTGTGACAGGTAAGATAATAAGCTGCTAAGACTACAATAAAAGGAAAACTAGGAAATGTGTTCTGTGAAACCTCCCCCCATGGATCCCTTCTGAAATCCCAGAGAATGGCCCTATGGCTCTCAGTACATGCTACAACTTCTAGTACAGGAAGGAGTAATGTAGGCGTATATTTTTGTTAGATTACCGCAATGCTCTCTGTGTCAGGCTGGCTTTGAAAAGTGTTCAGAAACTTCCATTGATGCAGAATGCTGCAGCCAGCATGTTGACTGGATTAGGTCACAGGGACCATATCTCTCCAGTCTTGGCCCATCTGCGTTGGCTCCGAATTTGTTTCCAGGCTTGGGACCAGCATACCAGAAAGACTGCCTACACCCTTATGAATTTACCTGACCACTATAGTAATCTTCCGAGGCCCGGTTTTGGGTGCCCCCACCTTCTGAGATTAAACTGGTAGGAACCTGGGGAAAAGCCTTCTTAGTCATAGCACCAAAACTAAGGAACTCTCTCCCCGGAGAGACTTGCCTGTCTCCTTCTGTTACTGTCTTCCATCAGCTAGTGGGGGAAAATTGTTATGTCTGGTGTTCCCTCACTGATCCCTGCTTCTTGCCCTGTGTTTTATTGTTATGCTTTTATGTGTATTTAGCATGGTTTTAATTTCTTAATGATGTGCGTTGTTTGGTTTTAATACTTTTTTAATAAGATGTGTTTTTAGTCTATGTTTTTAATCTGTTAGCTGCCTTGGTGGCCATTGTGATGGCAGAAAGGCACGGTATAAATTCTGTAAATACATAAATGAAGACTACCAATGAAAAGGAGTCAGCACAGCACTGTGGATCATATGTTTTGCATGCAAAAGCTCCCGGGTTCAGTTCACATTATCTCCAGTTACAATGGTCTTAGATACCAGTCAGAGGAGACAATACTCAATTATAGATGGACCAGTGGAATTTTTGAATGCGCCACACACTCACCCATTTTTTAAAAATACCCTCTCTCTAAGTTTAAATAAAAAGCCTATCAGGGAG